AAAACGATCTCACAAAACTAAGTGATTGGGCAACAAAATGGCAAATGAAATTAAATGTGGATAAATGTAAAGTAATGCACATTGGAAAAAATAACCCCAACTATACATACAATAGAATGGGGGCTAATTTAGCTACAACAAGTCAGGAAAAAGATCTTGGAGTCATCGTGGATAGTTCTCTGAAAACGTCCACGCAGTGTGCAGAGGCGGTCAAAAAAGCAAACAGGATGTTAGGAATCATTAAAAAGGGGATAGAGAATAAGACTGAGAATATATTATTGCCCTTATATAAATCGATGGTAGACCCTCATCTCGAATACTGTGTACAGATGTGGTCTCCTCATCTCAAAAAAGATATACTGGCACTAGAAAAGGTTCAGAAAAGGGCAACTAAAATGATTAAGGGTTTGGAACGGATCCCATATGAGGAGAGATTAAAGAAGCTAGGACTCTTCAGCTTGGAAAAGAGGAGACTAAGGGGGGGATATGATAGAGGTATATAAAATCATGAGTGATGTGGAGAAAATGGATAAGGAAAAGTTATTTACTTATTCCCATAATACAAGAACTAGGGGTCATCAAATGAAATTAATAGGCAGCAGGTTTAAAACAAATAAAAGGAAGTTCTTCTTCACGCAGCGCACAGTCAACTTGTGGAACTCCTTACCTGAGAAGGTTGTGAAGGCTAAGACTATAACAGAGTTTAAAAGAGAACTAGATAAATTCATGGTGGTTAAGTCCATTAATGGCTATTAGCCAGGACGGGTAAGGAATGGTGTCCCTAGCCTCTGTCTGACAGAGGATGGAGATGGATGGCAGGAGAGAGATCACTTGATCATTGCCTGTTAGGTTCACTCCCTCTGGGGCACCTGGCATTGGCCACTGTCGGTAGACAGGATACTGGGCTAGATGGACCTTTGGTCTGACCCGGTACGGCCTTTCTTATGTTCTTATGTTTCCTCCTACTTTTTCAGTAGCTGGATTATACTAAAAATGGAGGTTACTCACCTATAACTGGAGGTTCTTCAAGATGTATTGTCCCTATCTGTAGTCCACACACAGGATACACAGGCGCACCATACCATGCACCTGAGTCTGGAATTTTTCATAGGCAGTGTCCATTGGCCTGCACCCACATCATAGCTCTCCTCATGCTCTGAACCGAGGGCATAAGCAGTGGTGCGGACTGACATCTTTCCAGTTTCCCATTCTTAACTCAGTTCTAACAATCCCCAGCAGAACGGGCGGAGGGTGGGTAGTGGAATACAGATAGGGACCATACACCTCGAAGAACCTTCAGTTACAGGTAAGTAATCTCGATTTCTAATTTGAGTGATAATCCCAATGTGTATTCTGCACATGGGAGATTAACAAGCAGTAGTCAGAAATGGGGTGGGTACAAGGACAGAGAAGTGATAGCTGAATGTAATACTGCTGTATCCCCTCTCACTCTCCCTGCCTATCACATTCTCTGCACCTGAAAAGACAAAGAAAGCAGGCATTGGACCTGGGGGTGGGGGGTCCTGACCTGAGAGTTTGGTCAGTAATCTGCTGGTGCATGAGGCAAGAAACTTTGTTTGAAACTATTATAGTTTATTAAATTAGGCATTCGTAAGTGTCTTATGTTTATTTTTCTTGTAACCATTTCTGACTTTTATGCCTCATTACTTGTACTCACTTAAAATCTCTCCTTGTAATTAATAAACTCGTTTTATCTAATCCAGTGTGTTCAAATTGAACTGTCTGGTAAATCCATTTGGGGTAACAAGTTGTGTGCATATTGTTCCCTTAAAGGAATAATAGACTCAATAGATTTGTACGATCTAGGAGAGGGCTGGGCAGTACAGGACATATGTTTCTGGGAGCAAATCTGGGACCGGGAGAAGCCTGTTGGGGTTACTCTGTGGTAATTTGTAAGGCTGGTAAGAGTCAACGTGTGCCTAGCTGGCTGCAGGACACACAGATATAGCTGGGAGTGACTTACATCTGGTTGGAGGCTGTTTGTGAGCAGCAAGACATTGTAAAGCGCACCACAAGTTACAAGGCAAGGGTGACACAGCTACTCAGTCTGGATTGTAACCTGATATGTCACACCCCTATAAAATGTATAAACCTCATGGGGCTCAGATGGATTTTTTTCGTGATTGACGTAGACACCTAGGAAAAGCAGAAAGCTGAGCAGAACACTGTTGCCTGCTGGACTTCCTCAGAGGAACTGCCTGTCAAAAGACAGTAGTCAAGGTAGGGGAAGACTGAAATCCTCTTCACATCGAAGCTGCCACTGCTGAAGAAATCTTTGTAAAGACCCTGGGTGCTATAGCTAGACCAAAGGGAAGGACTCTGAATTGGTAATACTCTTCATTGAAAAGAAACCTGAGGAACCTCCCGTGGACTGAGTGGATGTCTATTTGAAAATAGGCATCTCATGTTGAGAGCCATGACCCATGTGTCCTCCTCTAACAAAGGAATTATTGATGTTAAGGATATACAGAATTTTAGTTTTTGAATGAACCTGTTCAGCTGTCTCAGATTGAGAATTGGCCTGCATCCCCTATTCTTCTGGGGATCAAGTAGTAAAGGGAATCCCTTCCCTTGTTGCTGTGGTGGAACCCTTTCTGTAGCTCCCCAGAGGAGAAGGGAGTTCACCTCTTGTCTTAGAATCTCCTCATGAGAATGGTCCCTGAAACAGAACCAGGAAAGGAGTTTGTGGGTATGAGGTACCAGAAACCCAATCAGATAGCCATGAATAATCTTTAATACCCATTTGTCTATAGTTAGCTCCCTCCAATTTTTGGCAAACCCGGTAAGGCAACCTCTGAATATCAAAGGAGGGGAATGAATTAGCATCAATAAAGGAATGCAGGTCTTGACAGTCCTGTCAAAAGAAACTCTTTACTTGGGGGTTAGAGTATGATGTGGCGGTGGATGTTACAGAGGCTGGGTTACTGGGTCTATAAACTGTCTTTAGCATGGTGGCTCTTGAGGACATTGGTGGTTAAATGGCTGAGGAGGTGGTCTTGCCCTACACCCTTGCCTCTAGTATTTTCTCTTGGGGCAGGGGTATAAATGCTCAGTGAGTGAAGCGTTGTTCTCAAGTCTTTGAGGGATTGAAGAGACTCATCCATGTTCTTATAGAATAGGTTGATAGTTTCAAAACAGATCTTGGATGGTACTCTGTGCCCTCTCTAGGAAACCTGAGGGTTACAATCACAAGTCTCTCCCCATAATAATGGAAATAATCACCCCCCTAGACACAGTATCTGCCATGTGCACCGCAGCTTGGAGGGAAGTTTTGGTCACTAATCTGCCCTCATCCTAGTCTAAGGCCCGGAAGCAGGCCCTATCCCCCTCAGGGAGCTTGTCCTTACATTCCAAAATCATATTAGGAAAATCTTATTTGGCCAAGAAGGCCGGATAATTTGAAATCCTGAACTGAAGGGAGGTGGAAGAGAAGACTTTTCTCCCTAAAAGGACACAAGCAACTCAACCTTTATCAGAGGGAGTAGCCTTTAGGTACTGTTGCTTGGACCATGCTGTGGCCCCCTTCACCACCAAGAGTTTGGCAGTGGATGAGAGAACCCTCCCCTCCTCCCTCCAGTGGGACCAAGCAACACTTCTCAGCCCTCTTAGGGGTGGGAGCACAAAAAGCAGGTGTGCGCCAAACTCTTTTTGCTGGGTTCATGTTGGCCTCATTAATGGGGAGGGCCACTCCACTGGGACCGGAAGGTTGCAAAATGTCTAGTAAACTGTGCTGAGGCTCCTGGACTTCCTCAAGCTGAATCTGTACCTCTGAACCCACCAGTGCACAAGCTCTTGATAGTGTTTAAAGTCATCTGATGGAGACTGAGAAGATGGAATAACCGCCTCACCCAGTGAAGACAATGAGGTTGGCTCCTAGAACTGTCAGAACCAGTTCACCTTCCACTTCTGAATATTCTGATGGGGCTGATTGTGGGTGTCAGGGCAATGGCAAATAGAACTCCTGAACTGATTCCAGGTGTCTTGTGTAGGGTTCCCATGGCCCCCAATGTTGTCAGTAGAAAGGATCAAATGGCAGAGGAGGACGACCACATGGCATAGGGCACTACTTGTCTCTTGGGCAATCATATATGGTGGGAGGTCAGAACCCTCATCTTTTGGGGTATCTGACTCATGCCACCTCCATCCAATGCCACAGAGAATCCTGAGAGGCCTCAGACTCATCCAAAGAGAAAGCCAGATACCTTATCTCTGGCCGAACCGACAGTACTGATGGTTGCACCTCAAGGCTGGCAGGTGGGACAGGAAAAGGACACTGCCTTATCAGAAGTGAGGTTTTTACCCACGAAAGCTTATGCCCAAATAAATCTGTTAGGCTTTAAGGTGCCACCAGACTCCTTGTTGTTTTTGTAGATACAGACTAACACGGCTATCCCCGGATACTTGACTGCCTTATCCGAATAGTCTCTTTCTCTGGTATAGCTATGTACTGGAATAGAGATGGCCCTGATAGGAGTGGAGAATAAGAGCAAGATGTCCTCTGGGGAGAGGTAACTCTCTTATGACCCTGGGATACCAGGAGAGTCCATTGGCAGAGCTGTTGGAACCAGAGCTTCCCTGGTCATTGTGGCGATCAGCTTGCCCAATGGGTGTCACTATCAGTACTGCATCAGCTCTGGAAGTCGGTGGGAGCACTAAGAGCTGTTTATCCCAAACCTTCACCATCAGAGCCATTGTCAGAACAGTCAGAAACATATCCTTGCATGCCTCCTTCCCCTGTTCAGAAAATTTACTTGGGCCTAAGTCCTTAGCACCCATGTACACTAGCTCTCCCAACTTTAACAGGGGACATTTTAGATGAAGATGGCTTGTCCTTATGTCTATGGAAATGCCCTTTGCTCTCATGTGAAGACTTCTCCTGAGGCTTAACATCTTGGCTTCTGTTCCCGAGCTCGAGTTCAGAGAGGCGCTGCCTGCTTGGTGAGACCTATGTACAGGGGGCGGTCCCTGGCCCACGTCTGACTGGGGCTTCATCACCTTCTCCATGAGATGTTTTCTGAGTCAAAGGGTACGTCTTCACTTACCGGAGGGTCCGGCGGCAGGCAATCGATGTTCTGGGGTCGATTTATCGCGTCTGGTTAAGACGCGATAAATCGATCCCGGAAGTGCTCGCCGTCGACGCCGGTACTCCAGCTCGGCGAGAGGAGTACGCGGCATCGACGGGGGAGCCTTCCTGCCGCATCTGGACCCGTGGTAAGTTCGGACTAAGGTACTTCGAATTCAGCTACATTATTAACGTAGCTGAATTTGCGTACCTTAGTCCGAATGGGGGCTTAGTGGGGACCAGGCCTCAGTTCCTGACACTCATGAGTTCTGGGGGGAAAAGAGTGGCAGATGCTGCACTTGATAGAAATATGAGCTTCATCTCATGAGCAGTAAAGGCAACATTGATGTTTGTCACTCACCGAAAAGAAGCAAGTGCAGGAAACACTACTTTTGAACCCCAGACCCTGGGCATAGTTCCAAGCTTCTTGGTGGGGTGGGGAGAGTCTCTGCGTGGGAAAGAAATGAGGGGGAAAACACTAGCTACACTATCTGCCTGTGTGGACTGTACTACAAAAACTATTAAAATTAACTGCATATAATATCTTACAGCAATGACACAGTAAAAAAGAAGCTGAGGACACCAAAGATTCCAACTCAGACCATTCAATGGTAAGAAGGAACTGAAGAGGAGTCAGCCCACACCACCTTTTATGCTCTCAGTTTGGAGCATGAGGAGACCTACAGCACATGTGTGAGCCAACGGATACTGCTTGCAAAATATTCTGGACTGAGTTGCATGGTGCGCATGTGTATCTCACATGAGGAATATACATAAGGACTATCACTCAAGAAGAAATCGCTATTCTCAAAGCTGTACTATTAATCAACAGATGCCAGTAGGGCATAGCAGAGAGGTATCATGAAAAGGTGCTACATAAATTGATGGTGTAGTTAAGGAAGTGGCCATGTTTCTTTTAGCTTTAGTCAAAATAAAAGGGGAAATTTATCCTTTTCCTGACACTGCAACCCTCTAATTTTAATAGAGAAGGATGCTTGGGTTTAATTTAAGTGGATATTTTAAAATAGAAGAATCTCAACATTAAAAGAATGGACTTATTGCTGAACTGCTTGTTTAAAACAAAAATAAATAATAAAGAAGGTGAGCAAGTTGGGAGTGACGTGAAAAATTGCCTAAAAAGGTTGGAAAGCAGCGGCTTGACTTTCAGATGTGTTGACTGCCCACAACTGTCTCTGAAGTAAGTGGGAGCTGTAGGTTCTCAGCCCCTCTGAAAATCAGGCAATAAAGTGTGACATTATTTTGCTAGGAAACAAAAACAAAACAATACAGTGGTATAGTATCTACAGAAAATAAATGATAAAACAAACCAATACATTTTCTTATAAGAATGAAGAGAAGGAATATGGTTACATTTTCATCACAGGGGTTTAATCATGCAATTCTCAGACTAAACACCTGTGAATCATGAGGCTAAACGGAGACACTGTTGAAAATGTACACTTAAGCTTCTTTACCAATAAACATCTGTTCATAACAGGTAAACTCTGCATATATCCCCACATAAGTAGTTGTAAAATAAGAAAGCTGGCCAATATAAAGCAGACAGTGAACCTTCTAGGCCACATATTATATGGATATTTTAAAGTCTGTTTACATTCCTGTTGTGCAGGTAAGAATATCACTACATACAATACAGCCATGTTCAAAACCCTAAAATGCTGCTAATTGCCACTTACCCTCGCACAGTGCCTGTTTCCTGGTAATTCACTTGAATAAACTTGCCAAAGCGACTTGAGTTGTTATTATGTGCTGTCTTTGCATTTCCAAAAGCCTGTCATAATAAAGAGAAGATGTTATCATTGTGTTTCAGAAGATACAAGCTGCATATAGCCTACTTACATGCACATCACAGGCTTGCTTTTGGGACTTGGCTGTCATTGCACAAATAATGATAAAAACCTGGGGAAGGGTGGCTGAATGATTTAATAGATCTAATGCTTCTCACTGAATCTCATGTTTACATCCAACTTAAGGTCTTAAGTAGAAAGGAGCTGTATGACAGTTTCATACAACAAAACCATCATATGCCATTATAAACCTCTGCTGTGAGAAAAATCAATGCTCAGCTAGAGTGAAACGTACTACTTTCCTAATGCAGTAGAGGCCGGTCCCAAAAGTATTGGCTGAGATAATTTAGAAGGTCCACACACAGATGCTTGCACTGATGCTTCCTAAATTACCCTTTGAATAAACAGGAATTCAGTTTCTGGATAGACTTTTACTCTTACACAATTCATTAGCAATAGTCTACACTAATCTATCGCTATCTAGATTTTAAAAGTTAAACTTCGTTATGCTTCTATTTTCCCTCTTAAGTTGCAAAATGCTTGACATTACAAGACTGCACCTACATCTAGTGCATCTCTCCCACCTACTTTCATGAAATACTGATATATTTACTGAAACATTAATTTGGTGATACATACTGATGAGGGTAGTTCTGGTTCAGTAAAGACTCCCCAGCCGATATGATCAGAAAACAAAGCTGTTTCTAACCAGTGCAGCTGTTCCTGAGTTATTAGGCCAGTGGGAACAGTAGAGCTGGCCTCTTGACTCTAGTAACGCAGGATTATCCTGACAAGCGGAGCCTGGAGTTAAACCATGGCTGTTCAAAGCAAGAGGGAGCGGGATGAGTCTCAATAAAATAGAAACAAATAGTTCTCTGACTGTGGGTACTGGCTCAAAATCACACATTGCAACAAAACAATCCTCTGAAGTCTGCAGTTATGTTTTGCATATATGTTGGTTCTAATCAAATCACTGAAGCAAGAAACATGAATGCCCATTATCACATGCAGTATTAAATCCAGTAAGTCCACTATGAGGAATATTTATTAACGTCATAATAACTGGCTGATTTTTTTCCCAAATGTGAACACATGAAAGATGTTAAAATTCAATTTGATCCATGTTAATTTTCCACAGATCACTAAAACAAAGTTCTACAATTACAGAAAACCATCAAAATAGCAAGTTGTGCTAGTATATACATGGGAATCAATTTTATATGTGATCTGGTGAAAACTCTATGTGTTCCATAGATTCATAGACTCCACAGCCACAAGGGAACATTGTGATCATCTAGTCTGACCTCCTGTATAATACAAGCCATAGAATTTCCCCAAAAGAATTCCTAGAATAGAACTTTTAGAAAGACATGGTGTGTGTGAGAGAGAGAGAGAGAGAGAGGATGGTCGCCTCCCTCCTTTTACACACAAGACCATCTTAAATTGCTCCAAACAGTCCTGCCACACAAAAATGATACCGCTGCAGTATTCTGTACATACTGTCCCTTTAAAATTATCAAATGAAAGTTCCACACACATTTTCGCCTCAAAGAATAAAAACACTATATAAATTTTCTACCTTTTCTACCAAATTCTGAAGCAACCAATCTGAGAATGCACAGAAGGTAACTTTATTTCCATGTCATGAATCAACAAGCTACTGATTTACTTTTTTAGGTCACCTGATAACTAGCTTTGATTTTCAAGGAATGCTCTTTTGGTTCAGAGCTGATCACTTCAATACAATCCTGTGCCAAGGTTTATGATAGAAACTAATAAGAAAAATGTGTGAGATGAATAGCTATAAATGCAGGATTTTAAAACATTGCCTCAAAGGCAAGTTGACTCAGTATTCCCTAATTTTCATAGATTCATAAATTCTAGGGCTGGAAGGGACTTCGAGAGGTCATCGAGTCCAGTCCCCTGCCCTCATTACCTTAAGCACTGTTTAAAAGCTGCACTGTATTAAAAGCTATACTGTATCCAGCCTGCCTCGAGAACTCTCACCTGAAATAAAGAAAATATTGGTTGAAATTGTGAATATATTTTTCACTGGTGTAGATGGAAAAAATCCAAAAGACAAACTGAATTTTAAGAGGCACGCTAAACAAATACCACTACCCAAACAATGAGAGAAGGATGCTTTGAACCTGGACTGTAATAGAGAGGAGTGAGAGAAATGCATGTCTAATTAATGTTATGAGTAGCAGTAAGTTACGTAATAATACACTCCACCTCTTTGCAGCAGTTCATGAATCTACTAATGAATGGCTTTTCTTGTCTTTCTAAGAACATGTAGACCAGTGTTTGCTTGATGTAGTACAAACAGCAACACAAAAAGAGACAGCAACATGGTCTAGAGTGGATAGCTCACTGGACAGGGAATCAGGAAATCGGGTTTCTATTTTTGGCACTGTCAATGACCTTTATGTGACTTTGGACAAGTCATCGCTCTAGTCCTGTCTCCTCTTCCACCCTTTGTCTGTTTTGTCTATTCACACTATAAACTCTTCGGGGCAGGGACTGACTCTCCCTCTGTTTTGGTACAGTGTCTAGCACAGTTGTTCTCAAAGTTTTGTACTGGTGACCCCTTTCACATAGCAAGCCTCTTAGTGTGACTCCCCCTTATAAATTAAAAACACTTTTTAATATATTTAACACCATTATAAATGCTGGAGGCAAAGCGGGGTTTGGGGTGGAGACTGATGGCTTGCAACCCTCTGAGTGGTCCCCAACCCCCAGTTTGAGAACCTCTGGACTACCACAACAAGGTTCAAAATCTAAGTACAAACATGCCAGTCACCACTCCACAGTTAAGCTAAGTTTTGCATTTACACAAATAATAAATTCTATTAAGAATAAGAAACAAAACTGAAATACTATCCCAATTTTTCAACAATGGAATTTACTGCTTGGTTATTTCTTATCTAAATGAAGCTAGAGATAAACCATTTGAAAGAATACTAATCAGAAATGGATATTCCAAGGTTATAGTGCAGAAATTCTCTTTTACTTAAACTATATATATATATACACACTTTGAAGAACATAGGTAAATCCTTCAACTTAAGTTGAAGGATTTACCTATGTTCTTCAATTTGTCTTACCCTAATAGCTCAGACAAAAGCTCGAGCAGTTCAGCAGTGCAGAGCAACAGTACCAATCTAATAAGCAGCATGTGTTTATATTCCATGTCAGCCAGCACATTGCCCCAGGTGTGCTCTGAATAAAACCAATAAACTTGGAACAATAATTCTGTGTTTGGAATATGGCTTGTACTTAAATATTTATTATTAATAATATTCATTTAATTTTATGAACCTTTTCTGGAATAGGTTGAAATTAAAGGCCACAAAACCCATATGCTAAGTGACTGAGACAAACTTTATTTAAAACAAATTGGTATTATTCACTTAAGGGAGTTTGCATCAGCAAGCAACAATATAAAAAACACAGCCATATGGCAAACCAATTGTACTCTATCACCCTTTCATGTTTCTTTAAAAAATTAACCAGATACCAGTACTATTGAGGTTTTATGATCAGTTGGCTTTCTAGTTCTCTGTACTGTACCGTCTTGAAATGATTAGATCATTGTTTCAGAGAGAGAAATGAAGTCTATTTATTACGATTGTTATTTAGGAAGGGTTCTATCCAGTAGTAAGTCAGCCTACTGGCTCAAGGAAACTATAACCATAGGAGATGCTCCCCCAATCTTCCTGTCCCCTTTCCACAAGCCTTGCCATATTCTTGGTGTACTCCAAATCAGAAGCAAGGAAATTATGTAGAGGGTTGCACTGAGCAGCTCTGGAAGTCTTCCAGTATCTTAAGAACAGAAATTTCTATTCTGTTTGGCAGGCGTAGTCAGAGAAAAATTCTCAAAGACCAGCAGGTCTCAGAAGCTGAGAGCCTCATTTCTGAGAATGAGAAAAGGAAAAAATTAACCACCTCACATACCTCCTCTGCAAATGGCCGTTTTTGTAAGCCTATTACAGGTCTGTCGCATCTTACACGCATTTTACATGCGCAATTTCAGCTTTACGCAGTCGCAAAAACAAACAGAGAAAAATAACAATTTTAATACTGTACCTGTAGTGCGGGCGATTCCGCCCACCATTACACTCAATGTAATTTTGACTATACACGATTTTCGCTTTACGCGCTACACTGCGGAATGTAACACCAGCGTAAGATGCGACAGACCTATATTAGACTGAAGATGAGAGATCTCTTCACTTCCCCCCACAACCCACCACCTCTGCAGGTAGAAGCCCACCCACCTCCCCATAGGCAGATGTAGAAGTCACAGTCACTAGGAATGCAGTAAGCTTCCTTAGGTTGTGTGTTCTCATATAGGGAATAGAGGTATTGACTAAGTACAGGGAGTTGCGAGAGCTGGAGTTGTGAGCTGCATGAATTCTCCATCTTCGTAAGCTGTGGGCTTCATGACATTTTTCTTTTGGCTTTACACAGCAGGCCAACCTGTCTTATGAGAGCAATACAGCGGTGCACAGAAAATCCAGGAAATTTTTGGAAAGTGTAGGGGACAATTTCCTGGTGCAAGTGCTGGAGGAACCAAGTAGGGGCAGAGCTCTTCTAGACCTGTTGCTCACAAACCAGGAAGAATTAGTAGGGGAAGCAAAAGTGAATGGGAACCTGGAAGGCAGTGACCATCAGATGGTCGAGTTCAGGATCCTGACACAAGAAAGAAAGGAGAGCAGCAGAATACGGACCCTGGACTTCAGAAAAGCAGACTTTGACCCCCTCAGGAAACTGATGGGCAGGATCCCCTGAGAGAATAACATGAGGGGGAAAGGAGTCCAGGAGAGCTGGCTGTATTTTAAAGAACCCTTATTGAGGTTGCAGGAAAAAACTATCCCAATGTGTAGAAAGAACAGTAAATATGGCAGGCGACCAGCTTGGCTTAACAATGAAATCCTTGCTGATCTTAAACACAAAAAAGAAGCTTACAAGAAGTGGAAGA